GATATTGTTTGGAGCAATTGGTGACCAGTCTGCTGAAGGGAAGGAGCCCCCAGATCACCCTTCCTGTTTCAGAAATAAACCTAATGTGAATTCAGCGTGAAACCAGATTGTCCTTTTCAGGAATGAATGGAGGACTTTTGCATACTGCATTTCTGGAGCAAGCTGTGGTTTGCCAGGATCCTGGAGGCAACTGTCTATGTTTAGTAACACATGGCAGAATGCAAGACTGATAGCCATCTGAAGGTTCCACATTAAATCTTTTTTGTTTTCAAGGTTATTACTGGCCCAAAATGTTTTTTTCTCAAAGTGATCTCTGCAGAGAAAATGTATTTTCTCTTTCCCTGCAGTGGGTGCAAGTGTCTATGGTGGGTTATTTGGAAGAATGGATATTACTTTCATATTACAGTGTGGAATAGTTATCTTTACATCTTTGCCAAATAAGCCTTATTTCGTAATAAATCAATAACTTTGTTGCTTATTAAAGAATCCTGGTTGATGGATCTTCATATTTTAAACCTAATATAGATAAAATATCTAATCGGCCAAGTCATAGAGTTATCAAGTTCTACAGCACAAAAACAGACGCTACAGTCCAACTGTCCTGCACCAAACAGATAGTCTAACCTGATCTAGTCTGATTTGCCACCATTTGGCCCATATCTCTCTAAACCCTTCCTATTCATGTACCCATCCAGATGCCTATTAATTGTAATTGTACCAGCCTCCACCACTTAGTCTGGCACCACCCTCTGCGTGAAAAAGTTGTCCCTCAGTTCCAACTTAAATCTGTCCCCTCTCACGTTAAACCTGTGCCCTCTAGTTCTGAACTCCATTACCCTGGGAAAAAGACCTTGGCGATTCATGCTATCTATGCCATTCATGATTTTATAAATTTTTATAAGGTCACTCTTCAGCCCCCTATGCTTCAGGGAAAATTGTCCTAGTCTATTCTTCCTCTGCCTATAGCTTAAACCCTCCAATCCCAGCAACACCTTTGTAAAACTTTCCTGAACCCTTTCAAGTTTAACAACATCTTTTCTATAGCAGGGCAACCCGAATAGTACTCAGTATTCTAAAGTGGCCTCACCAGTGCCCTGTAGAGCCACAACATGACCTCCCAACTCCTGTACTCGATGCACTGACCAATGAAGTAAGTGTGCCAAATGCCTTCTTCACTACCCAGCCTACCTGTGACTCCACTTTCATGGAACTATGCATCTGCGTCCCTAGGTCTCTTTGTTTGGCAACACTCCTCAGGGCTCTAATATTAACTGTATAAGTCCTTCCCTGGTTTGACTTACCAAAATCCAAAACATCTCATTTATCTAAATAAAATTCCATCTGCCAATCCTCGGCCCACTGGTCATCCGATCAAGGTCCGGTTGTACTCTGAGATAACCTTATTGACTGTCATCTTACAAAACTTAAACTTTCTCAGCTTCAGAGTTTTAACGAAATACTTCTGGTCTGGTGCTCTTAATCTAGACTCCTTACACTAAGGTAACCTATTCTTAGCAATTCTAAACTATCTTCTCCCTTTCTTAGCAGCAACAGCTTTACACATCTGCTTCAGCTAAGAACCCTGCAGAACTGACCAAACTGAAACCAAAAAAAAGTTTCTTTTTTCAATCTATGAGTGCTTCCTCTAAGTTACCATCCCCAAAAGTGAAACTCCACAACTTTGTATTAATGCACTTGACTGTTATTATGCTTGCTCCTAAACTCTCCTAATGTGGACAAAAAAACAGTACTCTCCAGGAAAGTCCTTTACTTACATTGTGTTTTAAAGAAATCACCGTGGCTCTGTGTCAGTTAGACTTAGCTGAGTGAAACAAAGGTTGAGTAAGTGAATTGGAAATTTGGTTCAGTTGGGAGTTCAATGCAAAGTGGGAGAAAGGTGCTTTAACTAATGTTTAGTGCAAGAAGTAAATGATCTAGAACAAGAGATGTATGGGAGAGGATAAAAGGCATGGATTGAGATGCTGGCATGCAGTAAGACTAGCGGCACAGTGATGTCATGGATCGTAACGTGGCATTAGTGCAGGGAAAGTAGTTGATTGATAAGTAGGATTAGTTAATATTTCCTGTCTCTTGCCTAACAGTTACAAAGTTCTTGCAAGCTGTGTGGTTGAGATTGGGAATTCCAGGGAGGATGAGCGAAGTAACAGTGGCACTGTGGCACAAGAAGCCATTCAAGTGAGGAGGGAGAAAATAGAAATATAGAAATGGTAGAGGGCAGTATACTTAAGGGGTTAGATACAGTTCTTTGCAGCCATGAGTGAGGTTCCTTAGGGCTTTGTTGCTGTCCAGTGCCAGGTTTAAGGACATCTGCATGGGGCTGCAAAAGAAATTGGAGTGGGAGAGGAAGGATCCAATTATTGTGAAACATTTTGGTGTCAATGACATTGATGGGACTGGAAAGGAGGTTCTGCTGAAAATGCAAACAATTAGGAGATCAATTAAAAAGCTGAACCTCCAAGGTAATCTCCAACTACTACCTGAGCTATGGGCAAACTGGCATAGGGTGAATAAACTCAAGTAATTAAATGCATGGCTCAAGAATTGGTGTTGGTGGAATGGGTTTCAGTTCATGGGACATTGGTACCAGTACTGGGATAGAAGGGAGCTGTTTCAATGGGATGACCTTCACTTGAACTGCTTTGGGACCAGTATCCTGGTGAATTAAATAATTAGGGCTGTAGAATGGGTTTTGGGAGAGGACAAAATGTAGGCTTACAAAACCAAAGAATACCGCAGAATTACGAGGCATCTCCTTTGATGACACCCAGAGTGAGAGACAGGAAGGGTCAGAGTCTACAAACAAAGAAAAACAGCAGTAAATAGGGTCAAATGTCAAAATTAAAGGCTCTTTACTTGTATGCATGTAGTATTCTGAACAAGCCAAATGGATTAGTGGCACAAGTGGACGTTGTTGGGCATGATGTTATGGCCATTACAGAGACATGGTTACAAGGAGATCAATGCCACAAAGTAATTATTCGGGGGAATGCGATTTTTCAAAAGGGCAGACAGGAAAGAAAGGGTGGAGGGTTAGCTTTGTTAGGATGGGATGGATTAAGTATGATCGCAAGAAATGATCTTGCATGGGAAGATGTAGAAGCCCTGAGTGGAGACAAGAAATAATAAGGGGAAGAAGACAGTAGTAAGAGTAGGGCAGAGATCTCTGGAGAAGAAGGAGCTGTTTTTGCTCTGCAGAAAAACCATCTCAAGTCTGAAGATAGTCAGTTCATTTTCCTTTTCCAGTTGCTGTAAGCTGTGACTTTTAATTGATAAATTAAGGACCTTGATTTGTAGGAACCAGTCACCATGTGCCTGTTCCAAACAAGTGAAAATATCTGGAGAAAGGAGATCAAGAAGCAGCGTTCTGATTGGCACAAACTCTGTGAAGAGACGGCTTAGCTACCTTTCCAGTCTCTCCCTTTATCCATAGCACACCTTGCTTTTTCCCGCTGTGTGGGTCCCATTCAGTCCTTCCAGCCTGCTCCACCATTCAATATGATCATGGCTGATCCTCCATGTCAATGCCATAATTCTGCACTCTCTCCATTCCCCTTTAGGAGCCTTTAATCTCTAAAGATTTATCTATTGCTTTCCTGATGTGGGTAAAACATTTAAGTTTATAGTCATAGAGTCATGCAGTGTAGAAATAGACCCTTTGGCCCACCATATCTATGCTGACCAATAAACACCAAACTGCACTAACCCCATTTACCTGCATCTCGCTCATGGTCTACTATGTCCTGGCATTTTAAGTACTCAACTAAATGTTTCTTAAATTTTGTGAGAGTATCTGCCTCCACCGCCCTCTCAGGCAGCACATTTCATATTTCTACCATCCTCTGGGTAGAAAAGTTATTTACGAGATCTCCTCTAAACCACTTGCTCCTCACCTTAAACTTAGCATTCTGGTCTTAGACAGATTTGCTATGGGGAAGAGAGTCTCACAATGTACTCTGTCTATACCTAACCTAATTTTGTATACTCAATCAGATCCCATCTCGGTCTCCTCTGCCCCAAGGTCAACAAGCCCAGTCTATCAAGTCTCCCCTCAGAACTGAGACTTTTCATCTCAGGATACATCCTGGTGAATCTCTTCTGCACCCTGCCCAATCATGTTCATCCGATAGTTTGGTGACCAGAACTGCATACAATATTCCCAATCTTGGCCTAACCAATGTTTAATAAAGTAATACCCAGAGTTTCTTGCTCCTATATTCTATGCCGTGGGAAATGAAGAAAAGCATCTGTATACTTTCCTCACTATCCTGTCTACCTGTGATGACATCTTCATGGATCTATGGACTTATACAGCAAAGGACCTGTTGTTCCTCACTACTCCGTAGAGTCTACCATTCATCGTGTATGTCCTTCCCTTATTAGACCTCCCAAAATGCATCATCTCGCACTTATCAGGATTAAATTCCATCTCCCATTGCTGTGCCCAATTTACCAGCTGATCATTATCAGACTGTGGCCTGAGACCATCCTTCTCAGTATAACAACACAATCAATTTTTGTGTCGTCTGTAAACGTAATGAATTATATCATCTACATTCACATCCAAGTTATTAATATAAATCACAAACAACCACAGTCCCTGCACCGAATCCTGTGGTACGTTACTGGTCACAGGCTTCCAATCACAAAAACAACTCTCCACCATCACTGTTTGCCTCCTATTTGTGAGCCAATTTGAATCCAGTTTGCCAATTTGCCTTAGATCCTATAGGCTCTTACCACTTGGACCAACCTTCCATGTAGGACCTTGTCAAAGGCCTTGCTAAAGTCCATGTAAACCACATCAACATCAGCCATCTTTTCAAAAAACTCAACTAAATTAATTAGACAGGATCTCCCACCAACAAATCTTTGCTATCACTAATCAATCCCTGCCTTTCCAAATATAATTAATCCTGTCCCTCAGAAATTTTTCCAATAATTTCCGTACCACTGACATAAGACTAACTGGTCTTTAATACCTTGCTTGCCTGTGCTGTCCTTCTTGAACAAAGGAACCACATTAGCTATTGTCCCGTCATCTGGAACTTCACCTGTGTCCCACAAAGTATTAAGTATCTTCGCCAGGTCCCAGCAATCTCCTTCCATGCCTCCTGTAGCAGCCTGGGATACGTGTAATTGGGCCCAGGGGATTTATGCACCTGTACGCCCGTTAAAACATCTAATGCCTCCTTCTTATTAATCTTAATGTATTTTAGAACCTCACCATCCCAACTGATATCCATGGCTACGATGCCTTTCTCCTGTATGAACACAAATGAGAAATATTCATTTAATACCTCACTCAATCTCTATTGGCTCCATGCACAGGTTGCCCTAAAAGGGTCCATCCTTTCCCTTACTCTTAATATATTTATAAAATGCCTTGGAATTTTTCTTAATCCTTTCTGTCAAATGGCTCCTCCTTGATCTCCTAGTTTCCTTTTATAAGCAACTTCCTACTGTGTATATTCTGTATACTTTTGACGGGCCTCTCTTATTTTTAATGCACTCTACCTGATATATGCTTCCTTCTTTTTCGTTTTCAAACTTTCAGAATCCCTTGACATCCAGGATTCCCTGGACCTAAGATACCAAGGTGTAGAGCTGGATGAACACAGCAGGTCAGGCAGCATCAGAGGAGCAGGAAAGCTGACGTTTCAGGTCCTGCTGTCTTTGCTGTTCACTCTTACAGTGGCCCTGAATTCCCACTATACTATTTTTAAAAGACTGCCACTTTCCAAGTGTAGACTTACCTGCAAGTAGCTGCTGTCTGTCAATGTTTGCCAGATCCCCTGTAATGATATTGAAATTGGCCTTCCCCCAGTTTAGACACTTAACTTTAGCACTATTCTTATCCCTTTCCATAATGACTTTGAAATTTACTGAGTTATGGATCCTTTCCCTAAAATGCTCCCCCATTGAAACTTCAACCTCTTGACCAGCTTCATTCTCTAGGATTAGGTCGAGCACTGCCCCATCTCTAGTAGGATTATCTACATACTGGCCCAAAAAGGTCACCTGATCCTTTCACATTAAGATGATCCCAGTTAATGATAGGAAAATTGAAGTCTCATGCAACTATAACCCTGTTTCTCTGATACCTTCAAGTGATTCGGTTATGTATCTATACCTCTATTTCCTGCTGACTGTTGGAAACTGTAGTATAATCCCAGTAATGTAATCGTGCTTTTATTATTTCTAAGTTCAATAAATGGCCTCATTTGAAGACCTTTTTAAGACATCCTCCCACATTACTGCAGTGATGGTATCCTTTATCAATAATGCAATGTCCCCCACCCCTCTTACTTACCCAAGCATCATGCCTGAAACTTCTGTACCCTGGAATGTTGAGCTGCCAGTTGTGTCCTCCTTTCACCCATGTCTCAGAGATAGCAAGAATATCATGTTCCCATGTGCTGATCAATGCTGTGAGTTCATTCCCCTTACCAGTCAAGCTCCTTGCATTAAAATGTGTAGAATTTAACTTTCCAGACCTTGCATGGGCCTTTTCCTGCTCATGACTTCTCCACGTACTGGTTGTCCTGGCAATCCATCTACATCTGATCGGGCCTTGTCCCTAACTTTACATCTACTCTGTGCCCCATCCCCCACCAAATTAGTTTAAAACCTTCCCAACAGCGTGGGCAAACCTCCTGGAAAGGATGTTGGACTCTTTCTGGTTCAGGTGCAACTTGTCCAGCACGTACAGGCCCCACGTACCCCAGAAACCATCCCAATGATCCAAAAATCTAAAGCCCTCCCCCCTATGCTACCCCCTTAGCCGTGAGTTCATCTGACCTATCTTTCTATTCCTATTCTCAGGAGTGTATGGCACTGGAAGTAATCCGGAGTTCACAGCCTTGGTAGACTTCCTCTATTAATCTATTCTCTCAATTCCTGCTGCAGGACCTCATTTCTTTTTTAACCCATGTTGTTGGTACCAACATGTACCATGACTTTTGGCTGTTCACCATTCCTCTTCAGAATGCCCTGTAGCTGCTCTGAGACATCCCTGGCCCTGGCACCAGGGAGGCAACATATCTTTCAAGAGTCTTGCTTGCTACCACAGAATCTGCTGCCAGTTCCCCTTTACAATCAGTAAAGCTCCCCCAGTCTCTGCCTCCTACTGTGCAGTAGACCTAACCATGGTGCCACCAACCTGGCTGCCGGTGCTTTCTCATGTTTAAGGGAGTAGTAAGGCTAAGGAGAAGTACAGTGTATTCCTCCCACCTCAGTTGTAACAACGTACTCTTCTGGAGTACTGTGTCCAGTTCTGGTCTCTCCATCATAGGAAAAATATTATTAAGCTGGAGAGGTTTCAGAAGTGATTTACCAAGATGTTGCAGGGAATGAAGAGTTTGAGTTATAAGGAGAGGCTGAATGGGCTGGGCCTTCTTTCACTGGAGTGTAGGAGGTTGAGGGGGTGGCCTTATGGAGGTTTATAAAATCATGAGGGGTATAGGTAAGGTGAATGGCAGGTGTCTTTTACCTATGACAGGGGTTTCAAGACTAGGGGGCATATTTTTAAGGTGACAGGAGAAAGATTTAAAAAGGACATGAGGGACAACATTTTTACACAGAGTGGGTTCATGTGTAGAATGAACTTTCAGAGGAAGTTGTGGATGCGGGTACAGTTACAACATTAAAAAGACGTTTAGATAAGTACTTGAATAAGAAATGTTTGGAGGGATATGGGCCAGGAGCTGGCAGATGGGACTAGTTTAGTTTTGAAACATGTTCAGCATGGATTCGTTGGACCGAAGGGTCTTTTTCTGTGCTGTATGACTCTATGACTCTACTTGAAGTGCTGTAATCTGCAAGGCTCCAGACCAATGGGTGACCATCTTGGAGGGAAATAAATGAGGAATACTGCGCTGGATGAGTGGGCGATGGAGGGCTGTGGGCAAGGGGTTACTGATGACCAGGGGAGTGACTAGTTCGGACCTCATTGCCCCTGCCTGCCTTCCCTTATCTCCTGAAGCATTGCAGGATTCTCCACAACCACACAGTTGTGGAGGGATGTGAGGACAGATTGCTGCAGCTCCCTTCAGGCTAATTGCACATATGCAAGTGCCAAAGATGTTTGGGCAGTGAAAAGCAGAGACCTTGAGTAGTCTTTGCTTTTACTTTCTGGAGAAATCTGGGACTCAGGAATGAAAGCCATATTCCAGGATAAAACTACAACTCTGAGTTCTGAGCAAGGGTCACTCGGCCCGAAACGTTAACTCTGTTTTCTCTCCACAGAAGCTGCCAGACCTGCTGAGGCTTTCTAGCAATCTCTGTTTTTGCTACAAATCTGGGGTGGTTGTTGACCCTGACAGAAGAAGTGAGGTTGAAAGTTGGGTTAGCTCGATCACTTGTTTTCTTGGCAATACAGTCATGATGCATCAGTCACAATTGTCTCCTGTGCTGTAAATGTTGTTTTGGTAGAAAGAAAATCACCCAATCTGCATTTGTTCTTTCCATTTTTAGCAGTGAACACAGTACACCAAACTGAAAGGAGGTTTGTTTAGGTCCTGGACAATGGGTAGTGAATTGATATTGAAAGTGATTCCACTAACAGTCTGTTAGTAGAACAGGGGTCATCAAGGAAATGACCCTTTCAGAATGTTGAAAGGTGGGGAGGGGAGCAGGGAAAGCTGATGTTTGGATAGTGTCATTACAGTGTACACTGTAGGAATGAGAACTTTGTTGAATCTGTTGAGACTGGGGGTGGAAAGTAAAGCTCGAGAAGGGAGGAGATTTCCAATCATCCAAGATGGTGCCGAAGCGTGACGACTTTTTGTGAGTTCTCTACAGCATATCTTACATTTCTTACCATTGTTTTGCACTTTTAAAAGTCAATTCTAAGTCTGTAAAAAGACTAACTATGTTCTCTTGTGCAGCGTCTCTACAGCCGTAACATTATATTCCTGGCTCTGTTCTATTACGCTAATGCACTTTGTATGATATGATGTGCCTGTACTGCATGCAAAACAAAACTTTTCACCGTACCTAGGTACATGTGACAATAATAAGTCAAATCAAAAAGATGGGCGGAGGCAGAAACGCAGGAGTGGGCCTCAGGCAGTTGTGGGCGTATGGTGGAGAACGATGAATGAAAACCGAAAGAACAGCGGATGCTGTAAATCAGAAACAAAAACAGAAGTTGCTGGAAAAGCTCAGCAGGTCTGGCAGCATCTGTGAAGAGAAATCAGAGTTAATGTTTCGGGTCCAGTGACCCATCCTCAGAACTGATGGTGTCTAGGAAAATGTCGGTTTATATGCAGAAGATAGGGTGGGAGGAGCGGGTATGGAGTAAACACTGCAGCAACCCTGAGACAGAGATGTTGGCCAGGGAACAGGGTTTTGTGTTAAAGTGGCAGGCAACTGGAAGCTCAGGGTCATTTTTGCGAGCAGAACGTAGATGTTCTGCGAAACAGTCATCCAGTCTATGCTTCGGATCCCTGCTATAGAGGAGACCACATCGTGAGCAGCTAATGCAGTAGACAAGATTGCGGAAAATGTAGGTAAAGTGCTACTTCACCTGGAAGGTATGTTTGCTGCAGTTTTGCAGCGAAGCTCAATGCAATCTGGAAGAACAACACCTCATTTTTCGCTTGGGGACCCTGCAACCTTCTGGACTCAATATTGAGTTCAATAATTGAAGGGCCTGACCTAGCCCCCAAACCCACACACCAAGCCTTGTTATCATAGAGTCTGCCATTACACACTACCTATTGTTAGCCACTAACAGTCTCCATTAACAGCTATTCACTCTTCTAGCCAGATTGTTATTCACTGCTTTGCCTGTCCAACTGTTCTTCTCCCTTTGGGGTCTATCATTTACTCCTTACCTGCTCCTCCCACCCTACCTTCTGCACATAAACCGACATTTGCCTAGCTACTATCAGGTCTGAGGAAGGGTCACCGGACCCGAAACGTTAACTCTTGATTTCTCTTCACAGATGCTGCCAGACCTGCTGAGCATTTCCAGCAACTTTTGTTTTTGTTGTTGTTGGAGAACAATGCTAGGCTGTTGGAAAGAAAAGACAAACTGGGAGAATGGAACATTTTTCACAAGAAATTTGCTGGATGTATGTCAGTGGAGGTTAGTTTACTATTTT